TGCTGAAGGCATCCTTCAAGGGGCAGTCTGCACCTACCACAGAAGAGACATTTGGAAAAGGCGTCATAGCAGAGCTGGGGCTGATGGAGAACATCTCAACTGGCACTGGGAGGGTGCCAGTCCAGTACTGCTTGGCATGCTCCTCCCTGCATAGTCACCCCAAGGACCACTACAGTCACCCTTTTTACCTGGAGAAGCTGCAATCTCCAAAAGAGTAGGCAGAAGCAGAAGTGAGATTTTTCTCTCTGGATGAGAACTTCTACTTTGCTAGTTTATGACTAACAGATTTCCAAAACCTCCCCATCTCAGGAAACCCTTTTTCAAGGAATCCCAGTTCTTAAGAAACGCAACCCTTTTCCACTCCCCGCAATATCAACCAAAAATAAAGAGGCTGAATAGAGTAACATGAACTACCAGTGTAAGTACTGTGTTGCTAGACAGGGCCTCAAGTAGCACAGTTAAAAATGGCAAAGTTTTTCAGCAGTTTCCTTATAGCCTAATTGAATAATGCTGCATAACCACTGCAGAAATAGCCTACAAAGTCAGGTTCGACAGAGTTTTCCTTCTCTCTTGCTTATCTGGAAAAATTGTTCAGAGAGATGCATTCCATATCTTCACCCCAACCAAAGCTAAACTCTGATCCATCTCCTCCAGCCAAGCTTTCACAGCCAAAAGCCTAACCTCTGTGCCTAGGGATTGATACCTCCAGTGTTGATGCTATATAAATTACATGCAGCTGCAAAATACAAGACTTCCTTCTCCCAAAGAAATCCCACTATAAATCAAAGAACATATTTACTTGGAGGAACAAAATCTTCCTTTTCTGGTTCTTTGCCCTGGAAGAAAACAAAGATCAGTCAAACATTTCCATTCCTGCAACACACATGCAGGTCTAGAAGGACAAAAGACACATTTTATACCCCTGCTCCAGGGAAAGTTAATGCTGAAGTTACAAAGGTACTGAAAAGGCACCAAAATGGGGGAAAGGAGAAAAAGGATGAGAATCAAAGCCGAAAGTTCACTTTGCTATAGGAATATGCAAAAGAAGCTGAATGGGGAAATCTGTTTTTCCTAATATCAGAGGTATTAAAGACAACAGGATCCTCTTGATTAGCACTGCAGAGAAATCAGTACACAAATAAGCTGTGTTCCTTCACATTATGGGACTGACCCAGAGTATGGAGAACACAGCAAAAGCAGAGGTACAAAAAGTAAAAAAACAGAACAAGCAACAGCAAGATGCAATAATTTACTTTCATTAGTGCAAGGAAGCCTTTATATCTGTAAGACAACCTCACAGCAAACAATCTGTGAATCTCTTGCAAAGGGATACCAACTCACTTTGCGAAGACTCATCTGCTTTTTGTAGAAGTTATTCCATTCCCGTTTCCGACTCTCTTCATTGGCTTCATCCCCATTCCCACTGCTTTCTTCATCATACCTGGATAAGGCAGGAAAACAAGAGGAACAAACATTTCTGTAGCTGTAGCATTAACTGGGGGACAAGCTTTGGAAAGCCTAGGTCATCCCAGTATTTACAGAAGATGATGTATTTCACATCCTTTCTGAACAAGCCTTAGCTTTTAGTTTCACTACCATCCTTCAACCTGGACAGTAGTAAGTGTCCTCCAAAAATGAATGGGATTTGTTAATCCCATGAACTAGTAAGCAGTAGCATGAACTAGTAGTACATAACTAGTGCTCTGAGAATGGAGGACTCCATTTCAGAAGCTCTGCTAGCTTCTCCCCTGGAGTTGAGGAGTCACTGTCTCGTGTCGTGTACCCCCATCTGTCAGTCATTACTGCCTTTGGAGCAGAGATGGCAGAAAGGGCAAAGCATCCATTCCTCAGCCTCAGTTGTTCACAGGCTGTTGTATTAAATGAAATCCCCATCACTTATACACTGAAATGCAGCAACTGATTCTCGCCAGATGTAGCCCAAGAGTTTACTGCCTTCCACAGCTGTCACAGGCAAAACTTCCAGGTATCACAAATCAGAGCTTTAAGGCTGTTGACCGTTACAACTTCCAAGGCAAAGCTACAACCGAGTAATGGAGAGGTTCAATAAATCAAGTGGCAAACAGTGTGCTGTACAACAGCACTGGCCATGTCTTCTCAGGTCCTGAGATCAAACACGGGCTTAGGTCACAAGTACACTAGTTTCCTCTGACTCAGCTGGACTTGTCTGAAGAACAAACCTACCAGTCTCAAGCTGTTTAAGGTAAAGCAGAGGGCTAGGCCAGCCGACAGCGCTGCACATCCTGGCAGAGCTTCACGGGCAGTGCAAGCAGTGAAACTTGCATCCTGGCAGAGCTGCACAGTCGCTGCAACTCAGCCAGAGAACGAGGAGGAAGAGAAGTCATCTCCACACTGCCAAGCATTTTACAGAATTAATTACGTTTCCCACTGCACATCTTCCCTTTGCTGTCAGCCTGACAGGGAAACACTAAAATTTAGCAATCTGCAGAAGAAGCTGGTGCTGGCACTCCACTACATCCTCTGTGATGACTAAGTCCTGTCAAGTGGCCCTCCAGCCTGCTGGGCCACAGATAGCCGTACTAAGTCAGGAATGAACTCTGGATTGTGTCATACTTTGCTGTCACATTGGTCTCAATTTAAACATTTTTGATCCTTGTGACTGTGAGCAGGCTGAGCCCACTTACTGCTTTCAAAAAATTTCAGGCTAGTTTCTTGAACCAATTACATTCTGCAGGGCAATTCTTAGGTCAGTCAAAACAGCTTTTGGCTCTGTGGGACACGAATGTGATCAAGGCTGCCAAAGTGTGTGGAAAATGAAATTCCAGCTCCTGCTGCCAGGAAGTTACAGGAAAATACCACCACACAGAAACATGTGCTGAAAATAGGAATGCCTGGGCCTGCAGCTGGGAGATACTCTCTTCTCTCTGATAGCTTCTATGAGCTGAGTTTGAGTTACCAAGTACAGACCTGCTAAAACCTCTGCAACCTCTCCTCCCGCCTTCATACAGCTCTGGGTCATAGCTATCCCAGGAGGAACCTGTGGGCCCAATGCAGGTTTTGCTCCAGCTGTTGGTGCAGCGCTCCAGTGACTCCAGCTGCCTTTTCACTGCCCCCGGGTTCTTGCAGTAATCACAGCACTTGTTACAAGGTGGGGTGACATCGCCAAAGTATTTCGCTATAGCAGCATGGCGACATCTAGGAAACAAAAGGGAAAATGACTGGTAATTATTTTTATTGACAAGAACTCCACCCTCCAAACGCAAGGTGTCTTTTGATAAAGGAGCCTTTTTTTGCAGAGAATGCCTATTCCAGTAGGAATCACAGGAATTAAACCCTGGAGCAGAACTGGGGTTCTGTTCCTGGCACCCTGCTTAAGGTCTCTCTGCCTCCACTTCCGCACATGTAAAACAAACAGTGGTGTTAATCTCTTCTGCTAAATGCTTTCAGATCTTTGAGATCTGCAAAAGGCGTGGTGGATGAAATATGCAGTTATTAATTCTGCATTGTTGGCCAAATATATTCCATGTCCAATCAGAATGTCTCTAGGGTAAATATGTAAAGAGGTCCTGTTGATCCCTCAGAGTTCAGAGTAGTTCTGTATATTTCACAGTGGAGAGCTTCTAATTTTATTGTTTGTGGTTTGAAGGTGAACAAATCCACATTTGAAGAAACAGGAATGTAAATTAAGTCACAGACATGGAGTCCAGACTGAGGTCACAAGGGAGCACTATTCAGATAATACAGCCTGGGTCTCGATATGCTAACGCATGCAGCCTAAGTTCGGGTAGAGTTCTACCTCCATGAAAACCAGTCCACTTGCTCATACAGCATTGCACAACCAGTTCTACCAGCCTTAGCAAACTAGCCATGTGAAGATTTTTAGATTCTTCCAGGAATCTTCAAATGATTTCTGGCAGATATCAGTGCTTTTGGGTATGTAAAAAAGAGTTTGGTGACAGAGATACGCTCATTAGCAATACAGGCAGGAAGTAATTCTCTTCTAGAACACTCCCTAACTTAAACCAGTGAAGACACTGATTTCGCTAGATAAAGAAGAACCAGGCGGATACTTTTTTTTCTTTTTTTAAGAAAGTGGGCAGAATTTAGAGGAGCTTTTTAAAACTTGGGTTTCACAGCAGGGGTGGCCAGTTGTCTCTTAATCAAAATGCTATACTAGATACACAGAAACACTTACTTCATCAGGCATTTAGAGATCAAATCCTGCAGACAAGCATCAACAAGAGTAATTTTAGAAGAGAATTATTTTACTGCAAGGAAGAACAAAGTGGAGATTTTTCCTCTCTACCAAGGAGTGCCCTATTTGGCTTACCACCCTCATCTGCAAAAAGTGGGTCACAGAGGGGAAAAGTAAGAGAGTGAGCACTTCATTTATTCTTATTTTAAACCCTTTAAGGCATGTCTGAACTTGCCAGAGATCTAACAAATGCAGTTTGCTTCTTAACTTGTGTGCATGTGTGTGTATGTCTGGGGGGAACATAACTGCATGTCTACCGAAGCATCACAAACAAACCCTGCAAGGGTCTAGAGCAGCAGCTGGCCCACTCATTCCCACGGCCTGGGAGGTTAATTTACCAAGCAGAAGAGCAAGTGAACCAGCAAAGCAGCAGGTTACAGACTACTGTCACCAGAGCAATGAAATGTGTGTGCTGAAGCCCGAAGGACCTGGCGCTGCTCAGGTAAGGAGGGCTGCAACAGGGTGACGTTGCACTGCACGGTCCAGGGCACTGAAAGCCTAGAGAGGGCTACTACAAAGCTGGCTTTATATCCCCCTGCAGAGCCGCACTGACTCACTCTCATCTTGCACTCGAAGAAAGAGCTTCTTTCACATGGTGGGGAAGGGTGGGGGGACCGGGATGGGGCAACACATTCGATCCCCTTGTCCTGCCTTTCCAAAAGAACTACTGGTGCTGCCTGTCCTGCCAATGCAACGTGACTATAGAAATGTCAGCGAGCTGCAAGTCAGCTTTTTGTTTCCCCAAAAGAAAACAGGCAGGCATTCTCATTAGTCCATGTCTCTTTCTTTCATGCGCACTGATCCAAATGAGAGTTAACCCAGGCATACAGTAATGGTCAAGCCCTCTCCTCACTCCTACAGCCCACTCACCAGGCTTATGCTGGGGAGGGACATCCACACACACCTCTGTCCCTTAATGAAAATGAGAGATGCCCCAAGGGAAGGCGCTGGTCAAAGCGGAGATCGGCTCTGAAGTCACTGGAATTTAGAGAGGTTCTAGTTTCTAACCCATCAGGCTTGTAAAGCCAAGCTCTTTCCGTCCAGCCTCCTGCAACTGCCTGTATCTTCCTGCAGAATTACCCAAATCAGGGTCACAGCCCCACTTTAGCCAATAGTGCTCATGAGTTGGGTCATAACAGTAATTCAGTTGCAGAACTAAGATTGCAGTCCTAATAATTAAGAGTCAAAAGGCCAAAACCAGAGTTACCAATAGGGATGCTGGGGGTAACCACGGGATTAATGCTTAACTGAACACAAGAGGTCCTGAAACATAGTTGGTTATGCATTGACATGTGGTGGGAAAATTTCCCGAGTCACACGAGCACCTGACTAACGCCCACGAGATGGAGAGCTGATTTACATAAATTAATGGTAGTTTGTATTAGTATACATGTCCTAAAATTATTTCATCTTTTAAATATGCAACTGTATTATTTGCCTCCCCCACCCTTCAACAGGAGTATGTATGAGCTGACCATTGGTGTTTAAAATGTCTAAACAAAATCATTATTTCATTTGAGACATCCTACTCTGATTTGACATCATGGGATAGGATGAAGAGCAAATAACAATCAAGCTTATTAATGTGTTTTTGTCTGTGGCAATACATTTCAGGAAAGTGCTAAACTGACCACATGGCTGCCTACACCATGCCTCCTTTTGGTACTCCTTGCTTTTGTACACCAAGTAAAACTGGAGCCCTATTCCTGCAATTAGTAGAAACAGATGGACAGTCAGAGAAGGAGCAAAGTCACACACCCCAAAAGCAGCTCTGCCTCTCCCAAAATACAGCAGAAAAAAGCATTTCCTCATATGAGCCGAAGAAGGGTACATGGCCTCATCAGAAGAGCTCCCTCAAAAAAACCCCTAGCAAGTCTTGGAGTAAAGCCAAGAAATGAAAGCATTAAAAAGACAAAAATCATATGAGGACAAATTATTTATGTAGATGCCAGTTGCTGAACAAAAGCCATTTAATGAGCTTTATCAAACAGGAGAGCAAATTATGAGCTTGATGAGGAATTATAATCTTGCACCTGTCTGAAGGACTGGATCCCTTGTAGTATCAGCTGAACTTCAACAACCCTCTGAGACAAGACAGTGGGTATCAGCGGTCCCCAGTACAAAAGAAGCAAAAACCACGGCATCAAGAGAGTAAATGACTTGGCCAAGGGCACAGAGCTAATTCACCACGCCAGCATCAGCCCTGCTCCCCGTCAGTGGCAGACCGTGCTGCACTGTCCTTGTCATTTCTTGCTCTGCCCCTTCAAAGAACACAAGAGAAAAGCTCCTTCCCCCGGGAGTCGCAAGGAAACTGGGCAGCATAAAGAAAAGTTAATTGCTTTAACATACACCCAAACTATCGCAAGGAGAGAATCAGTTCAAGTCCCACTCCAGAAAAAGCTGTAATTAAAAGGAAGAAAAGACAAGACCTTGCTAGGAGGAGATGCACAGAGGAAGCGAGCAACAAGTGCCGGCAGCCGGGCGCTCGGCAGTTTGCACCCGCGGCTGGCTCCGCTTGCGGTGGCTCCTCGCCGCCCGCCCTCCCTCTCCGGCACACATGTAACACGAAACTTCGTATCTCCAGGGCAACCAACAACAAAAAAAAGGCAGAGACAACAGCTGGCTGTCAGCAGCAGAGCAGAGAGGAGCCGAGCGAGGAGCGAGACACAAGCCAGGATGAGGGGAGAGATGACGTGAAAGTTTAAGAATACACAAAGAAAAACAAGAGGAGAAGAGTTCGCGGCGTGGCTGGGGTAAGGCTGAGCTATTGCTGGTGTTCGGTCAACCGTAGCACCTTAACATGCAGCTAGTTAGCAAGTAGCTGGAGCTTTTGTAGCTCTATGGTGAACTGCAGAATCAGCCATTGAGCAGAGCTGGCTAGCCTGAATTTGTTTGCAAGGGACACTAAGGAGCAAAGGTGGTGAGAGAAAAGCTTTTAATACGATTGCAGAAAGCTACGCTGCAGCCGTACCACTAACAAAAGGATCCAGCCTGCAGTCTTGCATTGCTTCGACAGTCAGAGCAGGAGTAAGCAACTTCTTCGCTGATTAGAAAGACTGCTCATTCTGCTGTTGCTGTTACGGAATGTGACCTTAGCAGATAAGCAGGTCTAGCACCTCCCAGCTCCTCCCAGCTGGAGATAAGTTTTATCCCCCAAACCCTGAAGCAAACAGAGAGCTTGAAAACAAACCCTGGTCGGGGAACTAGCATACTGTGCAAGCTAAGCATCTGTGTCCAATAGAAATAAATTGAAAGATTTTACACAGCTTCTAACAAGAGCATTTTAAAAAAATAAATCAGCTAGTGTATCAAGCACAGATGCTGGTTTACTATTCAAAACAGCATGAGAAACCACTGCTCTGAGAGAACACATACATACACATACAAGGTCTATGATTTACAGTAACAAGACCGTCAGGTCTGAATGCAGTGAGAAGGGAAGGAGGAGGAAAAGGATCCCCCAAATACAGGAAATCACCCATGGTAAGCCTTGGTTTTACATGGAGAAATGTCCCACAACCTGTACTCCCATCTCTGCTGCTGGGTGTGGGAAGGGGCTGGCAAGGAGGCTGACCATATAAGCCCCTGTCTTCTGCCATCTGAAGCTGATTACTCTGTTTGGAAGCTCTTGCAGCTCCCAGCACTGAGCTGGGACCCCTTGCCTCTTCCAGGAGGCGCATGGGCAGTCAGCTGTTTACAAACAGGTAGGGAGCGAGGCAGAAAGCCAATTGTCACAGAAAGATGTCTTTCTGATCCTACACATGCCTGTAGGGAGGAATGTTAAGGATCAGGTATTTCCACTTCTCTTCATTCCCATTAAAGTGGAAGGGAGGGCAGGTCTTTCTGACCTATGTGTTGTACAAACACTGAATTGGAACTGCCTGTGTGAGAAGATGTAGTAGTTAAGACCCACACGCCTCCAGTCTAGCCCTAGGTTCAA